CACACACACACACACACACACACACACACACACACACACACACACACACACACACACACACACACACATTCTTTTCTAGTTTCTTTTTTATTATAGGTTAACCTAAGATATTGAGTATAGTCCCCTGTGCTATACAGTAGGCCCTTGTTGTTTATCTGTTTTACATATAGTAGTGTGTTTTTTTAAATCTCAAACTCCAAATTCATCCCTCCCCCATGTTTCCCCTTTGGTAACCATAAGTTTGTTTTCTATGTCTGTGAGTCTATTTCTGTTTTGTAAATTATCTTTAATGGCTATATACTCCTCCATAGTATAAATGTATAACTCATTTAATCAATCCCTTTTCATTTTGGGTGCTAACAGTTGGTCATGCTTATATACAGGGGTGTATATCCTTGCAGAGAAATCTGTTCACCACCATGATGTTTTCATTAGTAAATTTCCTAGAATTTCTGGTTCAAGGGATAGACTGAAGTGATGCATGCTCACAGTGAAAATTCAAACAACACAAAAGTTTATATTGCTGATAGGTATATACTCTTCCAGCCTTTTTTCTCTGCATGGTCCCACACATATTATGTACGTGCACACACACACACACACACACACACACACGCTCATAGAAGATAAAACGGTATCCTGTTATGCATACTGTTCCAAAGCTTGTTCTTTTATAAAAAATACAGTAGATCATGAACATCCACCTGGTCTATAAGTCTACCTCATTTTAAGTTGCAAAGTATTCCAGAATATAGGTATTTTTGTCAGCCATTCTTGTCTGGATAGACATTTAAGTTGCTTATTAAGTTGCTTAAGTTTTTCTCTCATAAATTTGGTGGCAGTAAATACTCTTGTTAGTAGAACTTTCACACGTGTAATTCTGATAGGATAAATTTCTGGAAGTGGATTTCTGGCTCAAAGGATGTTAGGAATGTACTGAAGTTCAGTCTCAGTGTTGGTATTCTACCAAAATCTGATCTTTAAGTTTGGCTTTAGCCAAATATCAAAATGCTTGCCTCATGATCACTTCTGATTTCTTTAACCTTGTCATCAATGATCACATGGTAGCCTGGATGTCAACAAAATTCCTGCTTTACTATTGACTCTGGTATGTAGAACAATGCCCTCCCCCAAAGATGTCCATTTCTAATATCTGAAGGCTGTGAATATGGTAAGTTACATGGCAAAAGGGGATCAAAGATGCAGACAGAATCAAGTTTGCTAATCAGATGATATTAAAATAGCTTATCCTGGATTATCTAGATGGGGACAAGAAGGAAGCTGAAAAGGAGGGTCAGAGGGAGTCAAGACTGTGGAAGAACAGTCAGAGAGATGGCTTTGAAGATGGATTAAAGGGGCCACAAGCCAAGGAATATAGGCAGCTTCTAGAAACTGGAAAAGGCAAAGAAATGGGTTCTTCCCTTTTGTCACATTCATTTTAGCCCCATGTCAGACTTCAAACTATAAAATAGTAAATTTGTATTGTTTCAAGGTATTAAGTTTGTGGTAATTTGTTAACAGGGCTTCCCTTGGTGGCTCAGTGATAAAGAATCTGCCTGCCAGCGCAGGAGATACAAGAGATGTGAGTTCAATCCCTGGGTTGGGAAGATCTGAAGTAGAAAATGGCAACTGGTTCCAGTACTCACACCTGGAAAACTCCATGGACAGAGGAACCTGACAGGCTACAGTCCATCGGGTCACAAAGAGTCGGACATAACAGAGCACACACACACAATTTGTTGCAACAGCAACAGAAAACTAATATAGTGATCAAGAGGTTTCTGGTCTAATAGAGCAAATCTGGTTAAGTAAGTATTTATAGCATGGAAAATAAATGAAGAAAATATCTGATGAGTGTCCTTGACAATGGAACACACATGGTAAAGATCATGGGTAGTTTTGGAATCATAAGCATATAGTGTTTTGTCTGTAGCCTTCAGCTGTTTCTTCAGAGAGTCCCTTTAGTGCACAAGGATGTGTTGGTGAAAGGCAGAGAATGGACAACTTTCATCACTTTTCTTCAGGCAAAGACATTACTTGACCTGTCTGAGATTCAGGAACTGTCTTGTCACACATATAAAGTTGCTCAAACAAGAAACTGCAGCCATTAGGTGTTTGAGTACAGGATAACAAGAAGCCGTATCACTATTTTTTGATAACACCAGCATAGTAGGACTTACTAACAACCAATGGTTGCTTACAACAAAAATAGTTTGCAGGAACCTGATAAAGGGAACTGAAACCAATTTAATTTCCTCTCTTTGGGTTAAAAAAAAAAAAAAAAATGGGACCAGGCATACTTTCCTGTCCTTACACACTGAGAACAGGCAAAAATAACTTGGCTCTTTGCTTCAGCAAGTACTTGATCCTAGAAGACTGTGAACTAACAGAAAGAGCTTACTTGTCAAAAAACTAGCATTTTATTCATCAATCCTTGCTTAAAGGCTATTGCCTCACAGTGCCTATCAATCCAAAATTATTGTTATAAACTCTGCCAAATTTCAGTCAGTTTCCTGCTTTGCAAGACATTCCTTAAATCTACCCAGTTTGGGTCCTGTGTGTGTGTTAGTCACTCAGTCGTGTCCGACTCTTTGTGATCCCATGGACTGTAGCCCGCCAAGCTCCTCTGTGCACGGGATCTTCCAGCCAAGAATACTGGAGTGGGTTGCCATGCCCTCCTCCAAGTTTGGGCCCTAAAGCTCTATACATATCCTCTCTGACTTTCCCCTCTGAGAAATTGTTATGACACTTTGGCAGTCTCTTTAAAGCTGTAAGTTTATTAAATTTAACTTTACTTGAACAGATTTTCAGGGGGTCCTCTGGAGAGGTTTACTCAATAGAAGTAACCTTGAGAGCGCTAGTTTACTTACCGTGCGTGCACATGCGCTCAGTCATGTCCGCCTCTTTGTGAACCCCATGGACTCTAGTCTGTCAGACTCCTCTGTCCATGGGATTTTCCAGGCAGGAATACTGGAGTGGGTTGCCTTTTCCTTCTTCAGAGGATCTTCCTGACCTGGGGATCGAACCCGCATCTCTTGCATCTCCTGCATTGGCAGGCAGAAACCCCTGCTCTGAAGATTCTCCTATATTGTCACTCCAGAAAAAATCCTGCAGTTGGTGTGTATTCAATGGAAGCTGAGTACCACATGGATATTCATAGACAATTTTGTTTTCTTAAACTCAAATCCCCTTGCTCCACACAGCAACAGTTCTAGGTCCAAGGTCAATGGAATCTATTTCTATGAGAAATAAAAATATATAAGTGAAAATAGCAATGTTACCTCTGATATTTAGTGTTTCCTTCAAGTAAAGCAAAATGCTTCAGTTTGTGTGTTTGCGTCAGTGAAATTGTATCATCAACCTAGCATCAAGTCCAGGAATTGAAAAGGAGATAAATCTTTACCCAGTCAGTTCACTATTAGAAAGGAAGGAAACTTTAATAACTTGATGACAGCATCACTGTCAGCTGAACACTTCACTGTAGAACCTACAGAAATAAATCTGGCTTCTTTACTCACTGTTGAAAATGAATGACTATTTAGTACCTCAGAAGTACACACAGCAATTGACCAGCCCATGGTACTTGGAAATCATGGTGCCCATGAGTATTAAAATGTAAAACTTACAAAATCTGGCAATAAATAAAATAATTATCTATAAAATAATTACTATACAATAATATTTTGAAATAACTTTACAACAAAATTAATTACATTTGCATTTGAACAAAATAGGTTTATGGTACACATCTGTTACACACAATTGTTAAAGATATGGCCAAATTTTTGTCCAAAAAGTTTATACTAATGCATAAAGTGTGTACCAGTATACGTTGTTAAGGCTCTGGAGATACACTGCCTAATTGTCCTCCAGAAAACATGAGCCAGTTGATTCTCCAACACTGAAGAATAATGTCCATTTATCTGTTGTTAAAAGAGAATTTTTCATGGAAGTTATGAACAGGAATAAATAATGGGTATTTCATGTGCCTGGCCACATCTGTGACTACATTCTCTATGCTCTCAGTTTATCTCCCCCAGGGACTGGGAGCCCAGTTTGTATCAAGATCATCCATTCTGCGGTTAGAAAACCCTTGTTCCATTTTTGCCTCCTAAAATAACAGAAAAAATGTCCCTTTTGGATTCCTCTCATTATTTCTCCATGCAGTGGGAAAATTTTTTCTACCTTACCTCTTTATCAGGTGCCGCCACCTTTATGCAAGGAGTTCCATTTCAATCTTCATATGAGGCATGGGTCAAGTCTTATTTCTCACACTTAACGTGAACATGAACACTCGAGCAAGCATCCACTCACATACCTCCCAGACACAGCTGGTTGACACTGACCACTCTGGTTTTCAGTTCTCCAGCTCCTGGCAGTTCCCTTTCTTTCCTACAAATTTAGCTTTGCATTTAAAAGAATGGTATACTTTAGACAGCATCTCTGTTTGTACTCAGAGTATTTTCAGGTTATCTTAATCTGTCACATTGATGGAACTGGAAGTCCCCTTCAGGGATGGCCATGATGGTCAGATTAGCTCAGAAGGAACTACTTACTAGAACAAAAGGCACATTTGAGTGGACATGATGCCCCTAGCTCCTTGTCATGTTGGAAGCATCTGCTCCTCTAAGGAGTTTGCATGGAGGGTGATCAACTGCGCATCATCCTGGCTTATTCCTGTGGCTCTGCCCACACTGATGATTACTTGTTTCCTTTTGTGCCAGAACTGACCAAACAGACCTATGTAATGATGAATGAGCTAGAAACAAATGGGACCAGCTGCCATGACAGAGGACAAACCTTCCCTGACCTGCAGGCCTCAGGTCTAGCTGCCCAGGAGTTCTGTGCATGGATGTTCAGGATGCCATATGCTATTCTAACCAATGATGGGAAATGAAGAGGGACTTGTAATGCTACAAATGGCTACTTCCTGTGGCACACAACAAAATGTACCCCTGTGTTTTCTGTTGTTATTTAGTTGCTAACTCTTTTAAGACCAACTAGACTATAGCCCACCAGGTTCCTCTGTCCATGAGATTTCCCAGGCAAGAATACTGGAGTGGGTTGCCACTTCTTTTTCCAGGGGATCTTCCTGACCCAGGGACTGAACCCATGTCTCCAGCATTGGCAAGCAAATTCTTTACCACTGAGTCACCTTTACTATGTTCTATTTCCTGAGCTGTTCTAAAGACCCAGGAACCCCAAACAAGTCCTGGTAATGACAAGGGCAACCAGAGAAGGTAAAGAATCTGAACTCTCGTAAGGCCTCCAGCTGCTGGGACAATGACCATGCCTGGACACATCTGCCTGTTTGGCCACATTTAAAGGAAACAGGAGGCCTGACCATCAAGGCTGTGTGCACACTGTCAGTGCTGATCAGTGACAGCCCCCATGTGTCATCAAGGGGCGTCTGGGGGCTTCACGGCTGCTCTGGGAATGTTTTAGGACCACTGTGCACCTGCCAGTTGGTGAAAGAGAAGGGGGCTGGACAGCAGAAAAGGGACAGCCCTCAGGGAAGCCTTTAGGCTTTCTCTCAATAGAACCCCCATCCAGCTGCTCACTGAAGGCCTGAAGAGCAGAATCACGGGGCCTTTGATTGGAGAGGTACTATTTAGTTCAATCTTGCAAATAGTGCAGGTTCTGCAATCTCCTTGTCAGACAGCCTCCCACCATGGGGTTCTCACTACTAACTTTATGGCAGGAATGATCTCATTTTAAGCCTCTTCTTATTTTATAATAAGAACCTGCCTTTCAGTCATTTCCACCTACACCCCATCCTCTCCCTGTTGCTGAAGAAGGGAGTCCTGCCTTCAGCTGGCTCAGGAACACAGAGAGCTATGGCCTGAGCCATGAGAACCAGGGCTCCTCGGACCCAGCTCACCCAGAATGGCCATTCAGGAAAGGAACAAGTCTGACCAGTGGGACCAAGGCCTGCCAGGGGCTACTTGTCCACTTTCTAGCTGGAGACTTGTTAGGACCCCACCTCTACATAGGGAAGACGTCCTCCCAGATAGGAATAAGGTTATTTGGGGACTTCCGTGGTGGTACAGTGGTTAAGACTTGGTGCTTCCACTCCAGGGGGCACAGGTTCCATCCCTAGGGGTGGGATTGGGACTAAGATCCCACGTGCCATGTGGCACGACCAAAAATAAAAGTTTTGGATGAGCATTGAAAGTCGAGACCAAACAGTTATTTTATCCTGTCCCTGCATATAAGACAGCGTGTTGAAACCAAAAGCGTTCTGTGAAGGTAGTCAAGGGTGTCTTTTGAAGGCTGTTCAGACAGGCCACTGTGTTCCCTGGACTGGGCCCCAGTCTCGGAGCAGAGGAGTTGGAATCTGGGCAGGAGTGCTGGCAGCTTCTCTAGAGCAGGCAGGATTTCCTGGGGATCTCATCCTTCAATGTGCTGGCCTTGAGTCTCTATTTTCTGTGTGCCTGCTGGAGGCCCATCATGGTTTTCAAATAATTGTGCTGGACACCGAAAGGGGGAGAAAATAGGAACCGATTAGGACCTGCAGACCTAGCAAGGCCTCAGAAGCCACACCACTTATATCCATCCCAACATTCTTCCTGCAGATATCACCGTTTGGGGACAAGGACCCCCTTTGACTAGTCCCAGTTCTGTGAGAAAAAAATGTTCCATTCAGTCTCTCTCATTCTTTCATCCTAAAGTGTAGAAAATGTTTTAAATGTTGAAAAGCAGACATGCATGTTTCAAGGGCTCACTTGAAAGTTTCTCACAAGAATTAGGTTCAAAAAAGAAAAGAAGAGGGCTTTCTCTCCAGAGGGATGGGGGCCCATGTACTCTGAAGGGCTTTCCCTCTGCAAATCAACTAGATGTTCATGAATCCTACCTTTTAATGCACTGCTAGGCTCTTGGGAAGCAGCTGGGAAAAGGAAGCTGAAACAACGTCAGTGGGCAGGGCAGTGAGCAAGCAAATGCCAAACCCACCAAGCTGGAATATAGGGATGAATCCTAGATTCCCCACATGGTGAATCTGAACTGAAACTGAAACTTCCACTTTAAGCTGGAATTATTTTTTACTGTGGTAAAATACACATAAAATAAAAATTTCCACCTTGGCCATCTTTAAGTATACAGTTCGGTGGTACTGAATACATTCATAATGTTGTACAACCATCACTACCACCCATCTCCATAACTTCATCATCCCAAACTGAAACTGCATATGCATGGAGCAATAACTCCCCATTCCCCTCTCCCCCGAGACCCTGAAAAGCACTATTATACTTTCTCCCTTTAAGACTTTTAAGTCAGTTGTTTTATTTTTTAAAATATCATACTGGTAGCGAATACTTGATTTACAATGTAATGTTAGTTTCAAGTATACAGCAAAGTGATTCAGTTATATATTATGTATACATATAGTCATTCTTTCTTACATTCTTTTCTCATATAGGTTATCACAGACTATTGAGTTCCCTGTGCTATCCAGTAGGTCCTCATTGATTATCTATTTTATATATAATAGTGTGTGTATGTTAATCCCAAGCTCCTGATTTATCACTCCCTCCCCATGTTTTCCCTTTAGTAATCATAAATTTGTTTTTGAGATCTGCATGTTCCTATTTTGTAAATATGTTCATTTTTATCATTTTTAATTAGATTCCACATATGAGTGATATCATATGATACTTGTCTTTCTCTGATTTACTTCACTTAGTGTGATAATCTCTAAGTCCATCCATGTTGCTGCAAATGGCATTATTTCATTCCTTTTTTATGGCTGAGTAATACCACATCTTTATCCACTCCTCTGTCGATGGACATTTAGGTTGCTTCCATGTCTTGGCTATTGTAATTAGTGCTGCAGTGGATAATGGGGTGCATGTATCCTTTCGGATTATGTTTTTCTATACCACTAGGAGTGGGATTGCTGGATCATATGGTTGTTACATTTTTTAGCTTTTTAAGGAACCTCCTTACTGTTATCCACAGTAGTTGTACCAACATCTCCCCGTTTCCCACATTCCACCCCCATTTCCTGGTAACCACCATTCTAATCTCTTGTTTCTGTGAGTTGAACATGTTGTTGGTGGACTTTTTAATGATGATCGTGCTGACTGGTGTGAGGTGATACCTCAGTGTACTTTTGACTTGCATTTCTCTGGTAATTAGTGATGTTGAATATCTTTTCATATGGTTTTTGGCCATCTGTATGTCTTCTTTGGAGAAATGTTCATTTAGATTTTCTGCCCCTATGATTTTTTTTTCCAGTAAACAACTTAGTTTTTTATTTGTCCAAGGCCAGCTGTTGCAGGCACTGAGGCCCCAAGACTTCCAGAAGGGATGGGGGGAGTGGGCCATCCTGCCTCCCAGGTGTGCCTGCTCTATCCTGCTTCCTGCAGGAGATGGGAGAGTAGATAAAGTGTACCCTTGTGCCATCAAGTATCTCTTCAATTTTGTGAGTGTGTCATTCACTCGTGTCTGACTCTGCGACCCCATGGACTACAGCCCACCAGGCTCTGTCCAAGGGATTCTCCAGGAAAGAGTACTGGAGTGGGTTGCATTTCCTTCTCCATGCCCCTATGATTTTTGACTATCTCATGTAAGTGGAACCATTTATTTCAACTTACTCCATCTAAGTGGAAGCAAGTAATTTCAACTTATTCAGGACTCCTAGAGTTTAAGTTCAATCACATTTTTGGTCAGCTGAATTTCAACAAGGTACCAAACAGTTCAACAGAAAAAGAATCATTTTTTCAGCAATTGGTACTGGGAAAACTGAATATCCACACAGAAAAGAATAAAGTTGAATGCCTGCCTCACCTCATATGCCCCCTCCTCTGAGCCGAGAGGGGTAGGTCTCTCTGTGGTCAGATAAGGAAGCTCCTGCATAGTGGCCACAGTCAAAACGATCTCTGAGGCTGGGCTGCCTACGCCTAATTGACCTCACTCCATCCTCTCCCATAGAGTCCTGCCTTTCCACAGAGGCAGGGCCCTGTTCACTGATCTGGGCCTCCCTTCAGGGGCCAGGGTTAATAAAGCTTAATGCTCACAGCATAAGGCTAAGTGGCTGCCTGGGAAAATCCATCCTCTTGCTGAAGGAGTGGGCCCAGGCAACTAGGATGGGCAGGTAACCCTGCCCCAAGCCACAGCTGACTGAACCAAGACTGCACACTTAACACAAGGAGAGCCTAACTGGCCTGCGCACAGTGGCCTCCATCGGAGAGGCTCTCCCCAGTAAGGCAGTGGCCTCAGGGGAGCCCCCGGCCCTGCTCTGGCATGTGAACCACACATGGGCTGTCTTAGCACTCACTGACCATGTCCACGCCTGGCCAAGGCCTGTGGAACCACTACTGTGTGCCACTCTGGAGTTGGCAGAAGATACCCACTGACTCTGGGTGACTCTGGATTTCCCTGGCTGGCATTTTCCTCCTCTGCCTCTAAAGTGGGGAGGGCCATCCTGGGTGTCCTAGTACTGAGGTCACTGAGGCCTTGCCTTCCTGGAGACATGGATCCCCCCGAATTACCTTCTGTTCCATCTTGACCTTGGCATTGTAGAAGGAGACAGAGTCAGGACCCTCAGGCAACATCGTCTGCTGCAGCTGGCTGAACCTGTCCTGGTCGTCTTCTCCCTAGAAGCCCAACTCAGCACAGACCCTTCACCTGGCATCGTCAGGATCCACTCTGATGGGGCCTATGGTGGGCATCAGGGCAGCCCCTCGCTGGGCTGGCAAAACTCCACCAAGAGAGCTCACAGTCCTCCAGCCCCAAGTTTCCCAATGTCATCACAGACGCCTGTAGCCGCCATCAGGACAAGATGAGCCACTCAAGAAGGCTGGCAGCAGCACGTGGTGTTTTCTGGGTCCTCAACCCCCAAAGCTGGGGAGAGATCTGTACCTGCCCGCCTGCCTGGGGCAGCTGTAGGAAGGCCAGGAGCAGCCCATCCACTGCCATGCTTGAGGAGAGGACAGGGGGCACTGCCCACTGCCCTGTGCTCGTCCACCATCCCCAACCCTGCCCTGTGCCACTTACCAGAGAGACAATCTTGCTGAGAGGCATCATGCCTGGCCGGATGCTGCCACCCGGCCTCAGTGCCATCTGCAGGTCCTCGGGGACGAAGAAGGACTCATTGTACCAGATGTCAAATTCTGCAGGGAGATGCAGAGAGAGTGCTGTGAGGGTGGGGAGTCTCGAGGAAGCAGGTCAAGGCTATGTGTGCCTGTCTTGTGCCTGTCACAGGCTTGCCCGCTGTTCACTTCCTGCTCCCAGGTCTCAACCTTTCCCATCTCCATTGCCTGCCCTCGGAGTCCTGGAAACACATCTAAAGCCCCGTCCCCCTGCCTCTGCCACAGAGAAGTTCTGAAGCCACTTCTAGAATCCAGGCTGTGGCCCTGCCCTGACCCTCCTGGAACCCCAGGTGGCTGGCCAACCTCCCCAAATAGCACACCCGTGAGCAGGCGATGTCGACACTGGTCCACCAGGTGCTGGCAGTACTGGATCTCAGCCCTGAGGTCACGGAGGTCCTGATACTCCATCCGGTACTGCTTCTTGAGGTCTTTGAGTTTCAGGATCAGCAGGAATTCCTCCTCATCGATGATCATCAGCCCTTTGTTCTCATACTCACCTGCAAGGGGATGGAGGAGGTCAGGGAATGAGGGGCCTACCTGGGGTGTGGGGAGGAAGGTGGTCAGAAAGAGGGGGCAGTGCTGGCAAAGCATGAACACAGGGCGAGGGGAAGGGCTGGCAGTGCAGCGAGGAGGTGGACAAGGCATGAGAAGGCTGGGCTACCAGGACAGGTCTCACAGGGAGAGGGAGCTGAGGTCAGGGGACCACATAGCATATTTAGGACCAACAGGAGAGGTGAGTGGAGGAAATGGTACAGATGGCCCACATTCCATGGTTATTTTGATCTTAAACCCCATTAACCAGAACATCCAGTAAATACCTCTATTATACAGGTGTTTATCTTTTTCATAAGTTCTATAAACAAGCTGCCATGACTGGCTAGTACCACAAGGCAGTTGGGCAAGTTTCCTTATTAACAGTAGATGTAAACCCAAATTTCAAATTGTCTTCTTAATTTCAGCATTCACCAGCTACCTTGTTAGAAAGCATCAGACATCTGTATTGTGTCTGGTGGCTGGCAGAGGGCTCCAGGAGGGAGGGGTAAATCATCCTATGAGTCATCATCTCCACTCACGGTCTCTGCACAGTCCTTTTTAAGGTCTGTCAGTTTGATGAGGGTTGTTGGGTTAAGACAGATTATTTGTGGAGCCACTCATCTGGCGGTCTACTGCCTATAGCACTTGAAAGTTCAGCAAAGGCATCCTGTCAGTACCCAAGCCCAGGCTCCTGGAGAGTTAGTCCTGTGTGTGACTGAGGTGTGTGGCCAGGGTGCATGAGGCAGTCCCCAGTACCTGGGGAAGGCATTAGCACTTCCACTGATGTTTATGGGGGAGAAGTGAGGCACATGAAGTGTCACTGACAGCATTCATGGAGAGGCAAGGGCTCCAATTCAAGGTGTCTGCAGTTGGGGGGGCCAGAGTTGCCCTCACCTTCACTGCAGAGCAACCTGATCAGTGGGCTGTGGGCCAGTTCCAGTGTGGTTACTTGATAGACACAAATCTTTTTTTTTTTTTTTTTTTTTGAGCTGTACCATGGGGAATGTGGGATCTCAGTTCCCTGACCAGGGATCAAACCCACTCCTCCTGCACTGGAAGCACCGAAGGACCACTGGACTACCGGGAAAGGCCCAAAAGTCCATCACAGAGTAGAGACTTTACAGCACTCTGTTGAGACAGGGAGTGATAACATCTCATATTTCCCAGAGGTTCTCTGATTATCTCCAAAGAAAAAAATTTCTAAGAGTTGAACTTAAGATGATTTTCATTTTTTTTTCATGGAAGACATGTCTCATGTCTAATGTCCCAAATTAAATCACCACTCTGGGCTGACAAGTGGCTACCAGTCAAGGTACCTAGCAGGTATTTTAAAAAATGAACTACTTGATCTGTTCCCTTAAGATAAAAGTTATTTTACTTGGTATTTTACCAACCAATGGGAAAACAACTGCTTGGGGGGTAGGGAAGGGCAAAAATGTTTTCTGATATTCATAAAATTTTAACTATTTAAAAATACTGTTTATTTTTTCTTCTTCCCACCCTTTAAAAATATACATTTTTCAGGCATATTGAGGAGTGAGTGATATATCAGCATAATATGCATATGATTTAAAATATGTAAATATAAGGGGTTGCATATTCAAAGACCTGAAGGAGGGAGTGGCAACCCACTCCAATATTCTCGCCTGGAGAATCCCCATGGACAGAGGAGCCTGGCGGACTACACACAATCCATGGGGTTGCAAAGAGTCAGACACGACTGAGTGATTAAGCACATATTCAAAGAAGGTGTGGGCAGAGGGACAAAGAAGGACTCTGGCTCCCCAGGGCTGACCAGAGCCAAGTGATGCCCCAGGGATGAGGGCTGCACCCCAGCATCCCCTGCGGCTCCCCTTCCAACTTGGTCCTCCAGTACCCACGGCCACCCATCCCAAGCAGGATGACTGAGATCCCACTGTCCCCCAACTACCTTCTCAGCACGCTTACCTTGCTGCTCTCGTAGTGACTTCTGTAAATTGAGTGCCTCCTTGGTCATGTCAATCTCCCGCTTGATGGCATTGATGCGCTGTGTGGTCTCGCTGGCCCTTTTCCTCCGCTTGTTCAAGATGGATTTGTTTTCTTTGAAAATGCGGTTGATCTCACTACCCCGCTCATTCTTAAAGTCCTCAAAGGCCACAGGCTTGGCGGGTGGGGTGCTGGGCCTAAAGATGGAGAGGGAGATGAAGGGAGAAAGGGGGCAGCTGTCTTGGAGCCACCGGGCACTTCACATTTCTTCCCTGGGGCTTCTGTGAGCTGGAGGTCAGAATTCCTGGGCACTACCTACCCTAGATGGGAGGTAAACTGTATAGGAATGATTCTCTCATCTCTGTTCTATTCAGCCCACTGCAGAAAATGAAAATAAGGAAAACAGAAAAACAAAATACCACTCATTACCTACTGGCAACCACACTTTAATGTATCTCCTTCAGGAATTTACTTGATAAGTTGTTTAATATTTGGATCATGGAGTATATATAATTCTGCATCCTTTTTCACAGAAGCATTCTTTCATGCTACTAAAAACTCTGAGAATTCTAGTTATTATTAACTAGATGTAAGATGAAGTGCCGGGTAGGTGAAAGTAGATTGTCTGCAACTTACTTTGTAATCCGTAAAAAAAAGATGGATGAAAAGATGGAGAGAAAGACACATGATGAAATACTATAGTAACAGTACAATCAAGAGGGTGTTCACTATACAGATCTTTCAACTTCTCTGAATGTTTGGAAATGTTCACAAGCTGGAGAAAAATTCTTCATGTACATCTTTGTACATTTCAAGGGAAGAGAGAATCATTCACTTGGTGCCCTTTCCCTAATTGACTACTGAAGGTGTTACCAAAAAAATTTTCCTTTTGCTTTTAAAATTAATGACACAATCTTTTTATATAAATTTTTGTCTAAATCTCTGATTATTTCCTCAGGACAGATTCCTAAAAACTCAATTACTGACTGACTGGGGGAGAGGAACTGGGTGGCTGGAGGAAGGGTCTCATACTTGAGAATTTTGTATCTTTTGAATACATTACTTACCCGTAATTTGCAAATTTAATTATTTAAATAATTGCTATTTGGAGGGTCTAAAATGATTTCATGTATAACTGTACACGATGATAACCGTACACATGATAACTGTACAGGGTGACTCCTGAGGTTGAACCAATCTGCACTTGTATAAGCAACCATGTTTCTTCTTTTGGGACTGCTCCTAGTCTTTGCCTGTTACCCCTATTTTATTTCTTTTCTATCTGCAGGTGCTCTTTCCACGTCATACTCTGGTTTTGTATGATCTGGCACAGAAGCTAGCATCAGATGGTCACCTGGGTGGGCGTAATTCCTCCTTTGGGGAGTCAGAGGCCAGGGGCTCAGTATTGGAGGTCTCCCGGTCCCGCACAAGCATGTCTTTGACATCCCCATCCTTGGAGGACGGGGTCAGCTGGGTCTTGGAGGCAGAAACATCCAAGTCCTTGCCGCTCAGAGGACTGCTGGCACCCTCCTTTCTTGCTGAGGAGCTGGAAGGAGAAGGGAGGGGGACCTGGCTCAGTGCCTCTGACGCTGAGGGGAGGAATCTTGCTCAACACTCATACACCAGAACCCCATCCCACTCAGCTCCCGTCTTAACACACACCTCAGCCAAAGGGCGAAGAGTACAGCCCTAAGCCATGCACGTGGGGAGGAGGAGGGGAGCATTTGTCTCCCTTTTATCAGAACAAGGGGTCCTCCCTCAGCCGTCTTGGTAGGAGAAACCTGGGAGGAACAGGTAGTCTCCAGTTTGGAAGCATGAGGACCTTGGCGTGGGCCACAGGCTCTAAGGAGCATCCTGGCTGCTGAGGCAGGAGTCACACAGGCGCCGCTGGGACAGAAAGCAGGGCCTTCACCCTGGGCGCGTCTGTCTGAGGCTCAGCAGTAAAGACAGACACGTCTGTACCCCTGCTCTGACCAGCCCATGACCTGCTCACCCACCTACATCAGTGCCCACACCAGCTCCCGGGAAAAGAGCCATCTCTCTCCACATGATGGCGCCCAGGGCCCTCCCTCCCCAGAGGCACGTGAGAGCAGGGCTGAACTGAAGGAAGGATGTCCATGGCTCCCTCCATGACTGCTTCCTTCTCTGCTCTTCAACAGGCAACAGGTGTGGCCTGGGGACCAAGCCTTGATCTCCCTGGCACACGGGTTACCTGACAGCAGGACAGAGGGGTGACTGCCCTGCCTGAAGAGGCAGGAGGAGGCCAGGACATCCCGCCACCCTGCACATGACAGTTTTCTGCCGTCAGCTCTGACCCATGTCCTTTCACAAGGAAAAGGTGATAATGGTAACAACATGTTGCTATTGAGGTCTTCCAGGGCCGGGGGCTGCGTTTACTCACTTATCCTCAAAACCAGCCCAGTGACTGATGCTATTATTATTATTATTCCCACTTAGGGGGAGGAAACCGAGGCAGAGGAGCTCTCATGCCTCACAGAAGGTGACCCTCTTGGGTGAGAGAACTACACAGTAGGGAGGTGAGCCTGGGAGTCACCCTCAGAGTGGGGGCTTTGTCCACCACAATACAGCACTTCCCAGAGAGGCCGGCTCATTAAGGGCACCTTGATACTCCTTCCACCCTGCACCCACAAATGTGTCTTGCCTGCAAGGTGAGCTGGGGTTTTTAGGGGACATATGGGTGCCAATTAGCTGGGTCACAGAAGGAACGTGGTAGTGGGGTGGGTTTCCATGTGAAGTACCAGAGGGCGAGTGGCAGCCCATCTTCTCATTTCCACTCTACCACTCCTCAGCAGTGTGACCTTGGAATGACCTCCCCTCTCTGAGCCTCGGTTTCCTTATTAAGTAAACTGGAGACGTGAACTCCCACCTCACAGAACCGCTGTTAGCTATGACAGATGAGCAGTCCCAGCCTGGGCCCCACAGATGCCGTTAGTATTGGCAGGGGTGATGTCCATTGTGACCACCCCACCCCGTCACTAAGACTGGGGGAAAGATGGGATAGCTGTGTCCTCCCCTTCCCCAGCCAAGGAGGGCAAGGTGCTGATCAGTGGGAGCAGCAGGAAAGTCACTCACCTGAGCTGCTCTTTAAACATCTTCTTGGACTTGGATTTCTTCCCAGGTTTGGTAGAGAAAGGGGCGACTCCGAGTCCAAAGCCTTGTCCATCAGGCTCGCCCACGAGGTGGCCGTCAACGTCTACAAGCCCTGCCTAGACAGAGGCCAGTCACAGGTCTGCAGGTCAGATCGAGTGTTCAGGCCCCTGAGGGCCCAGGTGGGCATGTTCCTCACACACAGAGAGGTGGCTCCTGTGGATGTCACTGCAGGCTGTCCCCGCGCCAGCTGTCCCTGACCACCCCACCAAACATCCACTTTCCGCGCCAGCTGTTCTCATAGCTGGTGTCTCATCCACACTCTGAGACGCCTGAGGCCCATTGCCAGTTTCTCACTCACTGGACAGGAGTTCTTTATGTGGCCAGAGCAGGGCGTTTTGAATTCATACATGGTTGACTCTTGCATGGGTCATTCCATGCTCATGCTGATGTTAACCTTTACCTGTTAAAACCCTAGATCTGCTTTAATGCAGGACACTCACTGCCTCGGCAAGACCCGGGAATGCAAAACTCTGATGTGAGTCTTGTCGGTAAGAGGCAATTGTGCTTACCTTCTGGACAGCAGAGATGGCTGCATAGTCATTCTTGTCTATGAGGGTGTACTTCCTGCGCAACGCAGACTCCAGTGCCTGTTCCTGTTGGCTTGTGAGACAGAGTGAAAAAACCCCTCACACCTGGGGTAATCTGAGCCCACTGGGGCGAGCACCAAGTTCTGTGTGTGGCCCCTGAGACAGAGCCACGCCCTCATCTTGAGCCAAATCAAACAAAACATGCTCATTCTCTGCTCCCCACTCCCCAAAACATGTACCCACTGTCCAGTTCCCAAATCCGCAGGGGTCACCCTATGTGTCAAGGACAGCTGCTCTAAGATGACCTTTGACAAGGACCCCAAGCCTGCATCATGCATCCCCATCTGTCTCTAACAGGCCCTTCGGAATCACATGCCCAGCTTCTGTGTTACCACCCAGCACGAGCCAGTCGGCTACAGGTATGTCTACCCCAGTACCACAAATCCCTCTTGAGGTGGGGAAGAGGGTGCCAGGAGCATCAGAATGCCCTGCTCTGGCCACATAAAGAACTCCTGTCCAGTGAGCGAGCTCAGGAAACCAGGGGCTGCCTCCTCTCTGTGTAGCCCTCAAAGCGGGGGCTGTCCTCCCGACTTCCAGGAGGACCTGAGAGCTCAGAGGCAGACTGCTGGGGTCACCCGGGGCTGCCATACCCAGGGGCCTCTGATCTGGCTCCTCGCACACCAGACAGAAGGCAGAGCACCTGGAGGCCAGCACCCAGACCATGGGAAAGGAAAACAGCAGCCTGATGCAAGACTGGGTAGGTGTGGTGGGCCCCTTACCTCAGCACCACCCGGAACTGGTTGAACACCTCCTGGATCTGTCTGAGGTTGATTATCTGGAGAGGAGAGCAAGGCAGAGGTTAGACCAGGGGCACCACGGGACTAAGGCTGTGTCTGTAGAGAAATCAGGACCCCCTTGGCTAACCCTGGGACCATGTGTCTCAAGAAGGGGCCTCATACCAACACCCTCTCAGCAAAGTGGCAGTCAAGCCCTCCTCAACAACAAAGAAACCCTTGATTAGTAGTTTGGAAACTATTTACTGAGGCTATAAAAAAATCACCTTTTCTGACTGAAGAGTTATATAAAATTGAAATGACTCTAGTTCTTGAAGGTACTAAGAAAATATCTAAATAAAATTAACTGTCCTCAGCTCTCTCCTGCTTCCAAAAGGAGCCATTATGAACCATTCTGTGTGGGCACAGACATATACACACACCTGCGGCTGAAGGAAGACCATCAGCCTCTCTTGACCCCATTGCCCTCTAGCATTAGCCTTGACGCCTCGGTCATTCTGGGCCTGCCCTCTGGCAGCTGCTCACAGTAACAGGCTGGACAAGGCTCTGTCCATGAGCCCCCTGATGAGAGGTCTGCCAGCCTGTGCTCTGAAAACAGAATGCCTCTTTCCCCCTGAGAGTCTTCCCTTTGTGGCTGCTCTATTCCTCCTTGGCCCACTCCAGCATGGGCCCTGGAGGGATCCGCCTTGTAGACAACCAGCATGAGCGTCATCCTTTAATGCCCTCCCTCTGCCTGCCACTGACAAGCCCCCGAGGTGCTGCATCTCAGTTCATCCTAGCTCGGTTTCCCTCCCCACCATACAGGTACACGCGCGCGAGCATTTTCCTGAGGCCACTCAGCAGGGAGGCTGCTGAGCTCCAAGAGTCGAATCTGAACTGGTGGCCCAGTGATGGACCACCTCCCACGTGGTCAGGGCTGTGGGCCACTCTGTGGGGCACCCACAGCCTTGCAACCCTAAACATGGATGCTGAGGCCTCAGTGGGCAGAAGGGCCCTGAGGCCAGGAATCCAGCACCACCTACCCTACACCCCCTGCACCCTCTCAGTGAGGTTCCCAGGCTAGCACAGCATACATCATGGTGTGGCTGGGAGACAGAGGCCCGGGCCAGCCGGACATGGTGGTCCTGAGAGGCTCCTTACGTCAATCTCTTCCAGTGTTCCCTCCAGGTACCTTCGCACCTGGGAGTTGATCTCAGCAATCTGGATTTCATCCATGGGGTCATAGTTCACAAGGGTACGGTTGGCCTTGGAAGAGGAACATACTGTTAAGCTCCAAGCTCCTGAGCCCAAGCAGGGTGGCAGGGACCATTCTGAGGACCAAAGTGGGGAGGCTGGGCAGATAGCCTGGCTACCCAAGTCACTCCACTCCCTTCATCACCATGTCCTAGTAGGGAGGGCCTGACTCACAGGCCAGGTGGTCGGGTCAGCACAGGACAACCAGGTGAGACGGGGAAAGAAAGGCTGCCAGACAAGGGCCTGCTCCTCCAAGCCGGGGGGCTCTGCTGGCTGAGTCTCAGCAGACGGTGGGATGAGGGAGGGAGGGGGCGCCTCTGCCTTGAGACTCTCTGGACCATGAGCATCAGCTCAGACGAGCACTGGCGGTCTCCTGTCCCCCACCCCTACCTTCCAGCTCCCTGCTGCCCCTAATAACCATCCAGCCTGTCCACCTCCCTGACCTCAGGCTGTCTGCCTCTGTACCCCCACCTGCCAGGCCTGTGGCCCCTGCCCTCCATCCCCCTGCCTACTGCCTGGCTCTGCTCCCTGACCATCTGACAGCCCTGCCCATAACTTGTTCTTCCAGGGTCTCTGTCCAACAGACATCCCTGATCCCCCAGGCCTTCTGCCCCCGCAGTCTCTGTTCCCCCAGTCCCCTGTCTACTCAGCTCCTGACCCACGTGGCCCCCGTCCACGCAGTCCCTCTGCTCACCCAGCCCACCCTCTGATCCACCCCTGCTCTGACCCACTGCCCCCTCACACCTAGTCCTTCTGCCCACTTGGAACCCTGACCCCAGTCCCTCCAGGATTCTGCCCACCACCTCTAGCCCCTTACCAGGCTGTCATGGATGGCTAGTTCCTGCTTGAGCAATGCTAGCTCCTTCTCCAGGTTCTTGACCATTCTCTGCAAGGGAAGCATATTGCGGGGGGGGGGGGGGGGGGGGGGGGCAGGGGGGCGGGTAGCAAAGAGGACAGTCAGAGAAGCCACTTATAATTCCCGATCCTGTCCTTGGACATCCTGGCCCTTGCAGGTAATCCGTGGAGTGTTATCTCAACATCTGGATGATTCCCTCCCAGCTGGTGACTTTTCCCCAACTGGGCGAGTTTAGAGTTTGAAGGGGTTTCAGCACTTCTCTGTCCCTTGCCTCTTACTTGCAGGGGAGACTGAGAACAGAGTGAGTATGGGCACCACTAGGACCACCCTCAAGCCCGACTCCAGGAGCTCCAGCATACTTCAGTTCACCAGGGTCACCGCCCTGTCCGTGCAGCCTGTGCCTCCAGGACGCTGTCACCCTTATCCTTTCCAGCCACTGTACAAAGCATCAGCATTCCCCACTGACAGGCATGCCACCTCCATCCATTGCTGCTATAAACAATGCTGCAGAACACCTTTGCTCTTACATCTTTGTGTAGGATAACAGTGACCTATATGCCTACGTTTCTGCCCCTGCTCACACCACTCCCACCAAATGAGCACACTCCTGCCTCTGTGCTGCCTGTCCCCTCTGCCTGGGACACTCTTCTCCCAGGTATTCGCATAGCTCACCTGGCTCAAGTCTCTGTTCAAACACTGCTAAATTAGGTGCCCCTCAATCACCCCATGTAAAACTGCAATCCCCTCCCACTCTCAAACCACTCTTTTTTAAAAATCTTGCTCTAAATTGTTTTTTCATAGAACATACCCTAGAACAGTGCTAACAGAACTTGCTGTAATGATGGAAAGGTTCTGTTTGTGCCACAAGCCACACAAAGCTATGGAACACTTACAATGTGACTAGTGGGACAGAGGAAGTGAAATTTTTTTTTAATTTTTAATTTTATTAGAGCACTTCCTTGGAGGTCCCGTGGTTAAGATCCTGCACTTCCACTGCTGAGGGTATGGGTTTGATCCCTGGTTGGGGAACGAGTATCGCTGTGGCATAAGTGTGACCAGAAAGAAAGTTTTGTGTTTTTTTCACTGATTTCAGAAGCCATGTGTGAGTAGTGGCTACTGTACTGGACGGTGAGGCTCCGGAACCTATTTTAGCTTCAGTTATACAACATGCGATGTTTTGATATACATGTACCCGGTGAAATGAATACTATAGTCAAGCTAATTAACATATCCACTAGTTACCATTTTTTGTGTATGTGGTACAGCTTCTGAGATCTACTTCCCTTGCAAATTTTCAGTATACAGCACACTACTAACTATATTCACCATGCTATATGTTAGATCCCTGGAACTCTTAGAACTAAAAATATGTACTCTTTGACCCACATCTCCCATATCTCAGCCTGCTTCCTCCCACTCCTGGTAGCCAACTGCTCTGCTTTCTGCTTCTGTGAATTTGACTTTGTTAGGTTCCACATATAAGTGAAATCATACAGTGTTTTTCTTTGTGTATGTGGCTTATTTCATTTAGCACAATGACCTCGAGGTTCATCCATGTTGTCACAGATGGAAGAATCTAGAACTGACTGATTTATGTTTATTACATCTGTCTCTCCCATCTCCAGTGAACTGTCAGCAGCTCTTCAAGACAGATTTGTGTTTCTGTTGATCCACTGACGTGTCCCAAGTGCTTCAAAAAGTGCCCGGCACATAGTAAGTACTTCATAAATTTTAGCTGAATGAATAAATGATACATTTCTAGAAGCAGAATTGCTTAGTCATTTTACATCTGATAGATACTGTCCTTGAGTCTTTCATTTAAGCATCCCAGGACTTCATGTTGAGAACCTTCAGTGTGAACAATAGGCTTCCTTTAATTGTCAAAAATGGCCACTAGAGGGAGCCCCTGACAGCTGGGTCTCAGGTGTTTAGTCACCAAGTCTTGTCTGACTCTTCTGCAACCCCATGGACTGTAGCCTGTCAGGGTCCTCTGTCCATCTGGTGACCAAAGCAGTGACCAGTCTGTAGCAAGGGGTCCTGGTGGCTCACTGGCAAATCAGGGCACGAAGCCTGAACTCAAGACACATGACCAGGGTCCAAATTCTGACTCTGCCCCTCTGGGAAACCTCAAGATAGTCCTTCAGGTGGACTTCCTATGAGGTGACTGAGGGAAGTCCTATGAGAGAGGACTGGTGGCCAGCCCCTACTCATCTTCACCCCCTCGTCCCAGCTGAGGGATCTCAGTTCTAGAAAATGCACTCTACCCAGCCAAGGAAACTGGCTGAGCTGCTGGGGACCTCCAGCTCGATGACTCCTCCATCCGTTGTGGCGCGAGGAGTCAGGCTGAGACCTCTGGGCCAGTCGGGTGATGGCGGAAACGGGCCATCTGCTGTCCTGGGTCACCAGGCTCCGAGCTGCGCCCTGAGAGCGTGGAAGCCACTTCTCTTACTGCCTGGTAGGCTTAAGAGGCCTGGTAGGCCTCTATCTGTCCTCTTCTACTGACTGACTGGAAAGAAACTGCCTAGAAACAGAACTGGAACAGCTGACCCCACAGAATAGGGTCTGGCAGCACCTCCTGGTGGACCAACTCCCTTGTAAGACACAGTAGCATTTTCTGGATGGAAAAAAAAAAAATGCCTTGGAGACAACACAGACCCCACGTAAGTTCCTTGATGGTTAGGTGTTTCCATTATAAATATAATGAGGATAATTCAGAGAGTTCTGCTTAAGTTCACGGCAGGCTGGGAACAGCTCTCAGCCAAAGCAGTTGCCCTATTTTGACCTCACTGCAGCATGTAAGTGCATTTCTTCTTGGCAGACTAGGATACCCCAAGTCTTTCTGCTGTCTGTTTATACCCATGACTCACAACCCTTCCACCACCTCATGCAATCACAGACATAGTGGGAAGGTCACTGGAGGTCCTCAGTCCAACTTCCTAGTTCACAGATGAATACCCTGAGGCTCAGACTCTGAGCAACTCACCGCAGACAGCTGGTAGCAGAGGTGGACCAGGAACTCAGTCTCCCACCTTCCAGCCAACACTGCCAACCAAGGAAATCCTACAGAAGCTATTCCACCCCCTTGAAAACAGGCATCAGTACTGAAAATGATGCTGGAAACAACCTGGGAATACTGACTACAGTCTAGGAAAGGAGGCACTAAAATACCTTTCCAGATCTCTCTCAAGAACTCGTGCATAGAAAGGAAAAGGCTTATCATAAAGATTATAAACACATTCGCATTTGGTGACATGGCAACTTGGCTGTCCAGAACCAACAGTGCAGATTTCAGAACAGGAATTACTAAAATGAAAGTCCTTGCCATCAGGTGCAATGCCCACCCAGTCAGGTTCAGAGGTGGTAATGTGGTAGTCCTAAGCTAAGTGAATACCAAATAAGAAAATAAGAAAAATAAATAAGAGAAGCTCCAAGCTACAGAAAAGCATAGAAAATAATGCCATGAAACTTTGGGAAGACCACCCTAAAATCTGACTTTTTAACAGCATGCTAAATGCTGGCTGCAGATAATTTTTGTTTTTAAAAGAAATAAAACATTTAAGATAAATGTGAAGCCCCTGGACCCCACTCTGAGTCCATTCCCCACCCTGACATCCAGAGGGAACCCCCAGCTCAGTTTGGTCTTTTCACTCCCACACGTTTTTTTGACTACACGCACACGTATGCACTAAGAATAATCAGCATTGCTTTTTATGTTCTTTATACTTGGTATGAATGATAGATGCCACCATTTCAATCCCCAAGTTGTTCTCTCACTAGAGATTATCCATGCTCAAACCTCAAGCTCTGGCTTCCTCCCTCCACAACCTACTTAGCTACTCTCCTATTAAAGGCTATTAATTGTGTTCCTAACTTTTCATCATTGCAATAAGCAGTGCAGCACCATTTTCTGTAAGTCTCTATGTGCATACGCGAGAATGCCACTAGACTGTACACCTAGAAGTGACACTGCTGGTCTGCAGAACTGAGTGGACTGCTAACTAACATTTCCTAAACATTTATGCCATGACAGCACTGTGCTAAATGATTTCTACTCATTACCTTACTCTTCACAACATCTCTTTGAGGGTGGACTCTGTTATCCTTCCCTTAGAAAGAACAAGTATCTTACTGAGGCTAGACAGCCGAGAGAACAGGCTACTGAACCAGGATAGCCCAATGCACGTGCCAGGGCTCTTAACTACAGTACAAGTCATTCTCCAAGTGAGGTCCCGCAACAGCAGCACTGGGAACACTTCGGAGAAATCTGAACCCTCAGCCCCACTCCAGACCGAGGGAATCAGGAATTCTGGGAACAGGTCCAGGGACCTGTGGTTCAATGAGCCCTTGGGGTAATTCTCTAAGCTCTACTTCTTCCTCAACCTCCAAACCACGGTTTGGATACACAGAGCCCTGGGACTGCTATTTTCCTTCAGGATTTAGAGTCTGGAAAGTTCAGCTGATATGTCATGGGTTTAGGGCACACATGTGCTCCTCTCCAATAACTATGGTTGCATAAGCATCTTAAAGGAAAAGCAAATTATTGGTAAATGTATTTTTACTTCAGTAGATGTTGCCAAAATGCTCTCCAAAGTGGTTGGCAATTACCCTTTGACCAGAAATAAATAAGATCTGCTGTTTTGCAAATACTCACCATAGTTTGCATTGTCAGAAAATGTCTAATTTTTGCTAGTCTGAAGGTGGAATTCCACTAAGGTTTTAAATTGCATTTCCCTGGTTAGTGTTGATGCTGAGCACTCCTCCTGATTGATCAGCTGTATGCCGAGAGGGATCGCTCAGGCTGGGAAGAAAGCGGTTCAGTAGTGACCTAGCCAGATGAGTCTGAGAGACAGCCCACACGGATTAAGCTCAGAAGCAGCTCAAAGGACTCCCATGCAGAAGCCCAGGGTACTCAGAAGCCTTGAGGCCCCAGCAATTGGGTGGGGGCCTGATCTAGCCCTTTCATCTTGGTGGCAGCCCCCAAGGGGGTCTCTCGGAACTCTGAACACTGACCTACCCCAGAACAGAAAGCAACTGACTCAGGATAGCATGGGTATCTTTGGTGAAGGCAGGAAAGGAAGCCAGGCTCATGGGATCCAGGCAGCAAACCCATCTTCCCCAGAGGGAGACACCTGCCCACACCCTTAATACCTCAGCGTCGTACTTTTCATTGATGGCAGGCTCGGTGGTGACCAGCTTCATCCTGCTGGCAAACCGTAGTGAAGACAACTGAAAAACAGATCAGACAAACCTCTATGTTCTTAGCAAATTACCTGTGACTAGAGACATTTGCTAAACAATGTCTAAAGGAGTCCACTAGAAAACAAATCTCCCCAAAGAGAGGAATGCTCCATGGGCCCATGGAGTGACATCCGGGGGATCTTGTCTGCGTCCCTCCAGGGGCACAGCCAGCCAGGGGTGATTATGGCCAGAGGCCCATGGGTAGGTGCTTGGGAGACAGCCCCGGAGCACTGATGTTCCATGAGGAGTGGGGGGCTGCTCCCTGGTGTGAGGAGCAGCCAGAGGCACATGAGGCAGGCCCTAACATCCCAGCCTCAGACTACGCTGGGCTAACTCAGGGCCTGAAGCAGGGAGGCAGACTCAGAGGAGGGTTGGGTCACCCAGAAGTAGCCTGAGGAAGGCCTGAAAGGGCTCTTCCACTGGACAGTCTTGTCTAGTGGTTCAGAGCTCTGCACAGACCAACCGACTACATCCTCAGAAGGGTCTTGTAACCTCTCTGTAAAGTCGGGGAGACCTGGCTTACAGGGTCACTGGGAGACTGAGTGCTCAGGTACGTAATGTGCTCTGGACAGAACTGGCCCACAGTCAGCCCCCAAAGAGGCCCCTGTCATTATAGTTACTTCTGTGTGGGGTGAAACCAGACTCCTGCTGCAAGTGCAGCAGCACATGTGGCCACGACTCCCTTGTACACACAGGGGATGTGTGTATGCAGGGTCACTGCATAAAGCAACATGAATTATGACAGGCACTGTTTTAAAGTTAAAACATTTGGAGAAGAGAATCATGACCTTCCACACTGCCAATCTGCCTTTGTCCCAACCCCTGATAGCCCTTCCTAGCAGCTCCTTGGGGCTCCTGTGGGCTGAGTCCTGGGCAGAGATCCCAGGTGGTATGGGTACAAGCCTCTGGGGAAAGCAGGTGCCAGGAGAGCTGCTCCCTGTGTGACCATCTCAGAGGTGGGCATAAGGGAAGAGAGGGTCTTCCACGGTCTAGGAGGACAGATTTCTCAACCAGGCAGCCAGGAGGCCCAACAGTCACATGACTCCTCTTGGGGTTCACTCACACTTTATGATACTCTGAAACCAGTAGGTCCTGAAGCCTTCCTCGGGATGCTGCCTGCACGTCAGCTGGAGCTCCCCTCCCTGGCCTCCCACATCCCAGGGTGCTGAGTGTGCAACAGGAGAACTCCCCCTGGAAGCTGGGACAGTCGCTACTGCACAAAGCTGGGAGGCCCTGCAGGAGCATCTCTCCCTGCAGTACCTGACCTCTTTCACTGAGTGGATTCTGCATACGACTGAAGCTTGCCCTGAGCCATCCACATTTGAGCAAAATGTCTAGGGAGAGATTTCTAGTCCTATCTCATTTATGATGAGCTGGGAGGAGAGGCAGGGAGCCCCAGCTATGTGAACTCTGCTGTGTCACTAGCTCAGCTCTTATTCCTGCCTCTGGTTCTCATAAGCCTCTCACCTCCTCAGATCACCTGTTTCCTGCTGCTGGGTTCATCTCCCTGAGTCACGAGTCTGGCCACAACCCTCTTTCACTAACGCCCTGTGACAACCCCTGCCATCTTCAGGAGAGCAGCCAAGGCCCCAGCACGGCCACCAGGGCCCCTCCAGCCACTCACCTCCTCCTTCCTCTTTGCTGAGCCTCCCACTGCGTGGGTCAGAACATAGTGCTTGCCCTTCCCAGCTGACGCACAGCCTCCTCCCCTCACAGAGGCTCCCACACTCAGCTCGCCCCCTGCCTTGCCTCCCCCTTGGCACAGCTTCTGCCCCTTGGGACTTGGTATCTTGATCCCGGTTGGAGCCCCTTTGGTAATTTTGGCTCAGACTCATCCCCTGGATCCGTCCACTCTTGACCATGTCTGCAGCTACTGAGTCAGTTTACCCAGTCTGGCACGCCTGAGGATGGATGCTAACCCGGCTGCACCGACTGTCCTTACATACCGTCTCTTCTAACTGAGCAGCTTCTCCATAGATGTTTGTCACGAGGACCATGTTGCAATTTCCCCCTGCAGAAAGAAAGACACAGAAGGTCCATGAACCATGTGGATTTTCTGCCAAGACATTCCTTTGAGGCTGGTGGCAGTGGTCTGTTACTCTCTGAGCACTTGGGTCCCCTCAAAATTCATATATTGAAGTCCTAGTGCCCAAGGTGATGGCATTTGGAGGTGGGGCCTGTAGGAAGTGATTAAGTTTAGATGAGGTCATGAGGGTGGAGCCCCATGATAGGATTAGTGCCCTAAAAAGAAGAGAGAGAGAGAGCAGTGCTCTGTCTCTTTGTGATCTTTCTCTTTTCTTTCTCTCTCTCTTGGTCATGAATACACAAGGAGAAAGCGGCCATCTACAGGTCAGGAAGACAGTTTTCACCAGGAACCATTCCTGCTGGACCTTGATCTGGGACTTCCAGCCTCGAGGGTGAGAAACAGATGTCTGCCTAGTGGGAGCGCCCCAGTCCATAGTTCTTTGAGATAGCATATGCTTGTCCGTAGTCCCAGCCCATAGTATTTTGTTCCAGCAGCCTGACCCGACTGAGGGCCAGAGAAGACACACGAAAGCCTGGGAGGCAAGGGGAGCGGAGAAGAGGGAGAGGCCGCCAAATGCACCGAAAGAGGAGCTGGGGAGAAAGCAGAGGCAAGACGGCTGGGGCAGGGCAGAGGCCTGGGGCCAGGGCTTTGCTTATGGGGGGCGCACAGTTAATAATCACACACCTACCTTCAGGCCCAACACGAAAGCCTGGGAACACAAGATGACAAGACACAGCCCCCGCTCCTCACTCAGGGAGGCTGAAGGAAAGGGAAGACCTCACAGGAGAGGCCCTCCACCTGGGGCTTCAAGGCGATGAAGGGTTCTGCCAGCTGGTTCAGGGATGGGGGGACACGAGAGGGTGCCCCAGTAGAGGCCAGAGCTTCGGCAAAGCCTCTGAGGAGGGGGCAGAATGGCACGGGGGACAGGAGAAGGCACTGGGCTTGACTGTGCTTTTCCAGGTGTGTCTGAGGTCACTGTGAAAGGCTGCAGGTAAGTCCATGCCGCCGGGAGGGAGCAATTCCATTACCAGCAGCAGCAGACAGGCCAGTCCTGTCCCTCCTCCCTGCACCGCAGCCACCCCTCACCTAACGAGTCCTTGAGGGCGTGGGTGAGCTTGCACTGCCGGAAGGGGATGTGGTCTCGCTTCTGGTCCCCGAGGGCAATGATGGCCTGCTCCAGGAATGACAGCGATTTGTTGATGTAGGTGGCTTCCTTCAGGACTCGGCCCTCAGACTACAAACCAAAGGTCAGTTCTGCTTCAGGCCAAGTGGAGAGGCTGCCCCACAGACACACTGCAGGTCTACGGCCAGGCCAGAGCCTCCTGCCCAGAAGCAGGGTCTTCTCTTCCTGTCTTGTATTCCACGTTGGGCTAATAGGAACACTCCCAGGAACGCTGATGCAGATATTCATATGAGTGAATACTTGTGTGAATATTCATATGAATACTCCCTTAAGAGTCACACTGTTATGAACATACCGGGGAATATTTGTGCAGATATTTGAGCAAATAATCCTGGGAATATACAAACATTCATTCAACACACAAATACAAACATTCATCTGAATGCTCTTCTGAATACTTATGCTAATACTCATATGAATATGTATGTGAGATGAAAAATTCATGCAAATGTTCATCATATGAACACTTATGCACAGAGAAATGCTAATAAGAGCATGGAGCACTGACTGAGCACTGCCTGCCAGGCACTTTGCTGAGAATTTAGGAGCCATCATCTCATTCAGCGTTTACAACAGTCCTGCCAGGTAGGAACTGCCTCTCCGATGCAGCTGTTTCACCTCTGCTAGTTCTGTCCCCACAGCTGAACTGCGCCTAGCTAGGAATGGTGCTCACAAATGCCCAATGAATGACAGTCCACGCACACAGACACTAAGCTGGAGACAGGGCCATGGCTTGTTGAGGAGGAACTTCCTGCTCCCCCACTTACCCTAGACTTCCCCAGCCTCTCCGAGCCTGCTAGATCCACCAGGTTAATTTTGGAAGTGATGTACTTTTCATCTGATAAGGTCCGTGAACGGGCCTGTGAAACACCCAAAACAGAGGTTAGGTTGTCACAGTGAGAAGCTTCTTATGGAACAGGCTCCATGGGAATCGACCTCCCTTCCCAAGCTACTCAAAGAGCTTGTACTTACCTCCACATAGATGGTGAAAATGCAGTGTGACCTGGATGAGTTCTTGTTCATTGTGTGGGAGGCTATAATCCTGTTGGTCTCTCCCTGAAGAAGAGAGAAAACATGTAGACATTTTGACATATTGAAATAACAAGGCATTTGAATCATTTTTTAACTATACAGAAATGATCTTTACATCACAGCCCTCAGTCAGGCCTTCCAGGGAAGTCTGATTTATAAACCAGTAGAACAGAAGACAAATTGGAGTCCAGACCTGTACTTTCACTCACTGCTAGCAACATGTGAATCTGTATAATAGCATTCTGAAAAGCAAAGTGGCAACAAAAATTATGAGCCTAAAAAATGTTCATGGATATTGAGTCATAACCAACCTACATATCCAACAATTCAGGAATGATCTATCTGGAGAACAATGTTATGTGACCAGAAGAATACTGACAAATAGCTTTTAATAACAATAATGCAGAATCCAAAAATCAGAACAAACTGCCTTCAACAGCACGATAAAAGGACTATCCACCACAGCCAAATGGAATTTACCCTGGATGCAAGGATGGTTTGACATACACAAATCAATCAAGGTAATACACCTCATTAACAAAATGAAGGACAAAATCATACGATGGTACAATCTGAGGAATGCAGAAGCATTCATAGAAGAAAGAATAAACAGATGGTGCTACCAAGATGTTAATAATGGTCACTTCCAGGTTGGAGTTTATAGGTGGATCTTTTATATATACAGGTTATGCTTCCATATTTTTAAAGTGAACATGAATTACATTTAAACATTAGGAAAAAATCAGTAATTTGTATCTTTAAAGAGACAGCCCTTGCCTCTAATTCACAGGACTGGCACTGTGACCAGAATATACTTAAAAGGAGACATGGTAGAAATGGCTATACTTAGAAAAAGAGATTCACACGGAGGGACTCAGAAGTCCCTCCTTAAAGGACCCTGAGAAGTGCTATGAAGGAAGCCCAAATCAGTGGTACTGCGTTCCCCTGCGGAGAGGGGAGCACCTGAAGAGGAGGGGAGGCCCTGCGCTGGGGAGGACGCCCGGCTGGCTCCCAGGCTACATCCCCAAGGTCTCACTGTCACATTCAACTAACCTAAAATTAAGAACATTTGTTCACCAAATTGACATATCAAGAAAAAAAGACAAGTCACAGGAGATAGAAAACAGTTGTAATACATACAACTGAGAAAAGAACTAGTTTTAAGAATTTATAATTTATATAAACGAGGAAATAAAAAGACATCTGTAAAGATAATAATCAAAAGACATGAACAGGGAAATCCAAATCAATAAACACATAATGAGGTCCCTAATCTCATTGGTAATCAGGGAAATAAAACCCAATGAGTGGGCCATAATGGGAAACACTACACACCAGCCAGACTGGTCAAAATTTTAGGATCAGAATAATGGGAATTCTGACAACCTGTTGAGGGAGTATGCCATTATTTGTATCATTTAAGAAAGCTTAAGACACATACTCTCTGTAACCTAGCAATTACAGTTCTTGGCTTTACCTAGAGAAATTCATGCTTATGTGCATCAGATATACATACAAGAACGTTCCTAGTTCTAGTTCCCAGTGGCATGTCTGAAATATCCCCAAATCAGTAAAACCCAACTGTCCATCTGAAGTAGAATGGATAGCTAAACTGTAGTATACTCACACAATATAATATGATAAAAGTGAAAAACACATAACAATACCAGATGAATTGCACATAAACAGTAGGTAAAAGAAATAAGACAATTCATCCTATATGATTCCTTTTATATAAATTTCCAAAAACGTTAACTTATACTATTTGAGGAGATATAAATGTGTTATGCTACAGGTGGTTAAGCCCTAATGAAGACCAAGGAAATGATTACAAGTCAGGAGAGTGCTTGCTTCCACTGGTAGTTGCTCAGTCGTGTCTGATTCTTTGCGACCCCATGGACTGTAGCCCACCAGGCTTCTTTGTCCTTGGCATTCTCCAGGCAAGATTACTGGAGTGGGTTGCCATTTCCTCCTCCAGGGGATCTTCCTGACCTAGGGATTGAACCCGCGTCTCCTGTATTAACAGGCAGATTCTTTGTCACTGAGCCACCAGGGAAGCCCAGTTACTTCTACGGGTATAAATAAATACTTATTCATGATGAACTCTTCACAAACTTGGACCTTCTTTAACCTTAAGCCAAGAAACTTTCAGCAAACATCATTCTTCATGGTAGGAACAGCAATAAGATGAGAATGTGTTTTTGCTGCCTCCTGGCAGGCTCTTTCTTCTGTGTACATGCAAGGGATCTGTGTTTAAATCACCTCTGAGGACACCTAAGTAACTTTTTTAAAACTTTTATTTGACATATATTTTAAATACCATAAGATTCACCATTTTAAGTATTATAGTTCAGTGATTTTTAAAACCAGTAAAATTACAGGATTGTGTCACTATCACCACAATTCTAATTTTAAAATGTTGCATCACTCCAAACTCAGGCCTATTTGCAGTCACTTCCTGCTCCCCTCCCCCAGGCAGCTACTAATCTGCTTTTTGTCTCTATAGATGTGGCTATCAGGACATTTCAAATGAATGGAGTCATACATTAGGTGACCTTTTAAAATTTCTTTTACTTAGCATTTTTCCGGAGAGGGAGGAGGAATTACATCCATGTTGTAGCATGTATCAATGTTCCATTTCTTTTTTATCACTAGTTTTCTATTGTTTGGATGTACCATATTTTGCTTATCCATTCTCCAGTTGATGAATATTTTGGTTATTTCTGGTCTTTGGCTATTATGAATACTCTTATTATGAATATCTGTGTACAAGTCTTTGTGTGCACATAGATTTTCATTTCTCTTGGGTAGATTTCTAGGAGCAGAATTGCTAGGTCCTATGAAGAAATTAATGTTTAACTTTTTAGGAAACTGCCAAAATGGCTATAGCACTTTATAGTTCACCAGCAATGCATAAGAATTTTAATCTACATGATTTTAAAAAGAATAACACATCCCAGGCAATTTTTTAATTGATTTGTAAGACCCTTTATATTTCAAGGACACTAATTTTTATTTTTTTCTATATCACAGATGCCCATGGTTAACTTTTTAAAGGACAGTTTCAACTAAATAAAGAAAAACTTCAAGAGAAAAAAGACTAGAAGCCAAATTTATTAAGCCAAAATATACATTATTGGGACTTCCCTGGTGGTCCAGTGGTTAGGACTCTGTGCTTCCAATACAGGGCCCAGGGTTTGATCCCTAGTCAGGGAACTAGATCCCACATGCCATAACTAAAGATCCTATATTCTGCAACTAAGACCTGGTGCAGCCAAATAAATAAATATTTTAAATATATATATACACACACATTATTATTGCCATATGTAGAAAACAGATGAGTGAACTCTTTTTTGCTTCTATATTTTTTCATTATTATCTGAACTTGCTAAACAAGCATATATTAGTTTTAATTCTGGTTATCAAAGTAAGTAAGAAACTAAGAAGGAGGGAGGAAAAGGGGAACAAAAGGAAAGAAGGGAGAGAGAAAAGGTAAGGAAGAAGGCACCTGTGGTCCTGATCATCTCACCTCAAAGAGAAGGCTGAATGCATCCTCCTCCTGACTTGTGAGGTGGACCGACAAGCCCTTGATGAAGACCCCTTGAGGATTCTCCACGATGGTCATAGGTGTGACCGAGGGTCCAACGTAAGGCAGCGTGGATAGGAGATCAAACAGGCTCTCATTATAGATTTCCAGGTAGGAAACGCGCACAGTAATGGCATGTGTGGGACGTTCTTCAATCATCTTGAAAACCTAGATGGGAGATTGGACAGCAGTCACCAAGACCAGAACTCCAATGACCAGCCAGGATTAGGGGAGTTCTTACCTCAGGAGAGAATCCTCACCCTGGAAGAATTTATGGTCTAGTTACTGTGATGGTCATCATCAACAACAACTAGTAGTTCATCGGGTGATATTCACTATCATCTTGTAGTTTTTTGAGGCCTGACTTACAGATTGGCTAATAATTATACAGTCTCAAGAAGTAGAGGCATGATGAACAGAAAAGACTGTGAAGTGAAAATATCATTTTGTGGAGTTTTACCACATAGACGCTTCTTTCACATCCATTATTTAATTCTATCCTCTTAACTCCACTGCAACTGAAGCAGGGCAGGGGCCGTACCCATTTGTGGTTGCTCAGCTAATAAGGGGGAAAAGCCAAGCCAGAACTCAGCCTTCTCAACTCCTACTACCCTCCCCAGTGCTTATCAGCAGGTGACTTTGGGCTGGTCTTTTCCCCGTCTCTGGACCTTAACTTTCTTATTTGTTAAATGGGGAGCTGGGCTGGATGATCCCTGAAGTCCCCCCTTATCCTAACAGGCTAGATCTGTGCTGTGCCACATGCTAGACACTAGCCACAGGGGGCTGCTCAGCACTTGAAATGTGGCTCACGCAAATGAGGAATTGAATTTTATTTAATCTTAATTATATAATTCAAACTAATACTAAATTCAATTACTGATAAACTTTTTAAGTATGTTTGGAACAACTTGCGTTTATGAGTCCACCCTTTCAATTGTCAATTTCATGAAATCTAAATACAGAGAAACTATTTCTGATGAATATTTAGGGTCTAAATTGAAATGGGGACTTCCCTGGTGGTCCAGTGCTCAAGACTCCATGCTTTCAATGAAGGGAGTGTGGGTTCCATCTTGGTTAGGGAACTGTGATCCCACATGATGTGCAGTGCAGCCAAAAAAAGGATGAAACAAGCTGTAAGTATAAAATACGTTGTTGTTTAGTCACTAAGTTATGTCCGACTCTTTGCGACACTGTGGACTATAGCCTGCCAGGCTCCTCTGTCTGTAGAATTTTCCAGGCAAGAATACTGGAGTCAGGTGCCATTTTTTTCTCCAGGGGATCTTCCCAACCCAGGGATTGAACCTGGATCTCCTGCATTTGCAGGCACATTCTTTATCATTGAGCCACCTGGGAAGCCCATGTAAAATACCTTTCAAAGACTTAGTGTAAGAAAAAGAATGTAAAATATCTCAATAATTTTCACATTGATTACATATGGAAATGATATTTTGGCTATATTGAGTTAAATAAAATGTATTATCATATATTATATATCATTTAAGTGAAAGTTGCTCAGTCATGTCTGACTCTGCGACCCCATGGACTATATAGTCCATTCAGTTCTCTAGGCCAGAATACTGGAGTGGGTAGCCTTTCCCTTCTCCAGGGGATCTTGCCAACCCAGGGATCGAATCCAGTTCTCCCGCATTGCAAGTGGATTCTTTACCAGCTAAGCCACAATTCATTTCACTCGCTTTACTTTTTTTTACTTTTTAAAAATTTTTTTTCACTTGCTTTACTTTTTAAAATGTGGCTACTGGAAAACCTAAAACTGCATATGTGAGTTACATTATATTTCTGTTGGGCAGCACCGAGCTAGATTATCAAGGTCTAAGATGCTGAGCATTGACAGTGGGATGTTAAGGATATTGCTTCAAAAAATTATAGCATGGATGGTTATGCACAAGAGGGGCAACTTCACTTCCTATTGGACAGGGCTATAAAACCTCAAGTTGTTTTTTAGGGAACAGTCTTCTGCCTCCCACCTCCAAAACGAGGGTCCTCACAGAACACAGGCTAGCAGACTCCAAAGGCAGGCCCTTCTGTCCTGTCTTCAGTCACACTTCCCAGACCCCCAGGGCTGACTTGGTCCTGAAAGCTCATGTCGTGCCCTGCTCCTTCCCTTTGCTCTTTCTGGGGTGATGGTGGTGGAAGAAGCCAGAGCAGGCCAGTAAAGAAGCTCTGCAATGGTCCCTCCCCCTCATTAAAACCAGGAAGGGACAGAACTAGGTCCTCCGTATCCTCTGTTACAGGGCCACAGACCAACAGAGGAGCAAGAAGCCAGTCTGCACATCCGACTCACTCTACCAAGTGGGAAACAAGCTTAGCATGGAAGTCGGTCAGAGTCTGGAACCCAAACTCTTAGGTTACACACACACACACGCACCACCACACACACACACACCACACACACACACACACCACCACACACACACACCCCACACACCACCACACCACCATACACACACCACCATGCACACACACACACACCACCATGCACACACACACACACACACACAACCACACACACACCACCACACACACACCCCACACACACACACACACCCCACACACACACCACCACACACACACACCACACACACCGCAAACACACACCACCACACACACACCACCATGCACACACACACACCACCACACACACACACACCCACACACACACACCACCACACACACCGCACACACACACCACCACACACACACCACCATGCACACACACACACACAACCACACACACACCACACACACCACCACACACACACCACCATGCACACACACACACACACCACACACACACCACCACACACACACACACCACCATGCACACACACACACCACCACACACACACACCCCACCATACACACACACCACCACACACACCACCATGCACACACACACCACCATGCACACACACACCACACACACACACCATCACACACACACACCACCACCACACACACACACACAACCATACACACACACCACCACACACACACACCACCATGCACACACACACCACCATGCACACACACACACACCACACACACACACACACACCACCACACACACACACCACACACACACCACCATGCACACACACACACACCACCACACATACACACCCCACCATACACACACACCACCACACACACCACCACACACACACACACCACCACACACACACACCCCACCATACACACACACCACCACACACACCACCACACACACACACCACCATGCACACACACCACCACACACACACACCCCACCATACACACACACCACACACACACACCACCATGCACACACACACACACACCACCACACACACCCACATACACCACCATGCACACACACACACACACCACACACACACACACACCACCATGCACACACACCCACACACACCACCATGCACACACACACACACCACCATGCACACACACACACACACCACCATGCACACACACACACCACCATGCAAACACACACACACACACACCCCACCATGCATAACCTGTCTCCCCTACAGGCTGCAGCTCCTTGGAGGCCTGGATCCCACTGGCTCCAGGAGCTGGCCTGGGATGGGCAGCTTCTGTGTGCCATCCCACCCATGGGCCCACGCTCTACCTGCTGTAGGGCACGAGGGAGGATCCCCCGGTGCTTGTAATTCTCAGTTGCCCCCGTCATGGTATATGTCTTGCCAGCTCCTGTCTGCCCGTAACACATGATGGTGCCTGCAAACATTTCAGAACACATTTTGGTGACATCCAGGAAAATAGATCTAAGGACAGCTTTTCCCTCCCACAGCATGCCCAGCACCAGCCAGAACCCAGGTGTGAAGGTGGCCATCAGAAGCAGCTAAGGACATCGGGAATTCCTGCCATGTAGGGTGAGTGGCTAAGCAGGGAAACAGGATGTTACGGGTCAGAACACAGACAGCTGCTCTGAATCTGTGGTCCACTGAGGGCTCTACTGCTTCCCCTTCCAAGAGGGGATTTGATCCTAGGGCTTCTGAGGAGAGCAGGGAATTCCAGGCTACAGAGGACCTGGGAATTTTCCTAGCAAGATGAGGGTGATGAGAGCATTAAAGTCAGCCCTTCTTCAGCAAGACCATGGACAGCCAGGCTCTCAGAGCTATGTCTCCCCATGAGGCTGCCCAGACAGAAAGAAAGAAGAGCTTTCAAAACCCCCAGGAAGAGATGGGAGTGGGAAGGGCATTTTCTGTTACTGGTGAGAATTCTTTGTAGACAACACATTCCCACAAGACTAAAGCTGGTCCCAGGCCTCTTTCAGAAACCAAATACCGTGACTAGGTCCTGATCTGTCCCAGTGCCCTCTCTGGGAAGATGTTCTCTTGCACTTCACTCGTGCTTTAGGTCTACCATCACCACCAGGCTGTGGGACATAAACCAGTCACCTTGGGCTCCAGTTCCCATCTGCTCTTCCTCCTGACTTGGGCAGCCTGATCCAGACCCAACCCAAAGGCTGTTTCTGTAGGTATTCACATAGCAGAAATGCCCAGGTAACATTGGCTGGTGGAAATCAGTGTCCACCTTTTCCACATGGATGCTCTAGTTCCTGGGATTGGTAGGTTTTACACAAGGGGCCTGAATTCAGCATCTGCACTGGAGTCAGAAACAGTATCTTTAATCCTGCAGGAATGTGCAGGAAGGAATCAGTTTAGCTGGAACTCAGAGCCCATTTGTGGCTCCACAGCACCCAGAGCCCATGACTCTTAGCCTCCCTGGGCCTTAGCTCCTCTGTCTCTACTTCCTCAGGACCACATCCCCTCAGGACGAATGAAGACCACACCTATATATCACACACAGGCTACAATGTTCAGGCATCTACACTCAACTGACTTTTAAACAGAAGACCTAAAACTTGCGAAAGGGGAACATGCTAGTCAGGAGCCACCAGACAGGCAGTCTACAGACTGTGATGTATTTTTTCTAAGGATTTCAAAATCTTAAGATTTTAAAACAATCTTAGACTGAACAAGTTTGTACAAATTTCCCTATAAATTTTAATTTGCTAAATGGCTTTTTTGTTAAGCTTTTACCTTAAGAATATCAAACTCTACTCAAGTTTTTAGTGATATATGTAAATAACCTAATACTGGAATGGAAGAGATTGATTGTGCTGGTAGGATAAATGGAAATAGCTCGTAGCAGGTAGCCAAGAGAAAAATGTTTGACTCCATCAAATTTATCATAAAGACATTGTTTCAAAACTAATATTCGAGGAATTTGAAACAGGATAATAGTTGAATCCCCATGACCTATAGAGAGACAGGGTCATTAAATCATCCTATGAAGGTAGGAACCCAGGACCATGGGTCAAGCCATGACCACCATGTCATCAAAATGGAACATGGAGACAAATAAACAAAAGTTAGTAACAGAAATTGTAGTTTATTTTATTCACCATAAAATCCTTGTACCTCTTCCTGGGTGGGGGTATTCCCCAGGTTCTTACATTAAAACAACAGTTAATTAACTAAATTACCGTTAAAGCCATTGAGGGCCTGAGAAACCACATCCTTCGCGACTATCTCGTAAACCAAGTCCTGGGAGGCATCATGAAGAACTCTGTCCAGTTTGAATGACCAGTCTGTCTGCTGGTTATTGACAGCTCCCCTCCGAGTATCTTTTTTTAAGTGAATATCAATGGTCTAGGAAGAAATGAAGACTTGTTAAGAAACTGGTATAAAAAAGTCAACGGCAGCCAAGGCTTGACCTGGAGGAAACAGGAGGTGAACTTGAGGAAGAACAGGGACTTGCATGCATCCTGGATGACCTTCAGGATGGGGGGAAGGGAGCCACCTAGGGGAGGCCATACACCCTCAGGGTGGAAGGAGCAGGGGACGGGAGCACACGCTGGTTTCAGCACATCTCACCCTAGTGGACAGGGTGCTGTTTGTCTTGGTTCCCTCATCTGTGATATGGGGTGAAGCACATTTATCACATTCTCATTAAACAAGTTTTAGGTAAGTCCAATAAGCACAGGAATGCCTTGAAACAGGCCAGAGAGAACAGTGGGCTTGGGAATGGAGGCCTGGGCTAGAGCCCTAGCTCCTTGGTGACTGGAAGCGAGGCCTCCCTCAACGTTGTGGTGAGCACCCACTCCCTCACGTGCTATGGGCCACGGTGAGCAATGAAGAAATGATAGCCACAGGAAAGGCGCTGGACTCTTCCGACATAGTAACTCACTGGCACTAAATCAAGCATGCCTACCGACTTGTTATCAGCACGTTTTCAGATGCAAAGATTTCTAAAAATTTTATTTTTAGACTTTTAGACCCCTCTATGGCAAGCCTCTGTGGCAGCAGCTGGTTTAGAAATATATTGGGTTAGGTTAATGGTAGATTCCAATCTTTGAAATGAAGACTTCTGATGTAAATGGACTCTCACTGGACTCTTACACTGGCTGTCTTAATCCAGAAGCCAAGACATGCAGAAAAAATAAGATCAACAGAGCAGGGCTTGGTCCATTCATACATTAAATGTTCTGTGCTTCAGGGTCACTGAATCCAAGTCCAGAAGGGTGCACTTCACAGGGCTGCACCTGAGTTTCTTTCTGACTGCTAGGACTTTAGAAGCTTGAAAAGTTGACCTTTGAATTGCTCCCTTGAACAATGTCTCCATGCTGCCCACAGTAGATCCACAAATGTTTGCTGAATAAAAGCATTCCATAATGCTCAAGGTGTGCTAAATCTGTCTCAGGCTTCAGAATAGTCCTCAGACACTGGTGAGGACATGGGGAGGGATAGATCTTTCCAGTTCTCGCCATAAAAGTTTCTCCCACTCTTTAGTAAGTTTAACAATAATCAACTGAAGACATTCCTACTGTACTCCATGGGAGATCTAATCACCAGAAAGTTTTATGAGTGTGGACAAATGTCACCTTCCAGTGTCAGATACAAGGATAAAGGTAAACTACTAACCAAAAAGGCAATAAAAATGGGAGTTTCATGAGCTTCCTCACTGACAGCATTGGTGGGGGGAGCGCTCTGGACTTGAAGGACTCTAGATTCCATCTGAACTTTTACCAGTTCTGTCCTGGTCCTTACAAGGTTGTCTGAAAACAGTGCAGTGAGAAAGAAGTGAGAGATTCTCAGGCAGGTGAAGGCGAACACAACTGCACTTACTTTGTTGTCATCTCCGTATTTGATCATTTCATGGGCAAAGTCGTCAGTGGGTCTGACACGGACAAATGCGTGAACTTTTTTCCTAGAACCCATTTTAGCTAAAAAGAAGAAAACAGCAACGTTTTCAGTAGTCATCCTCAAACAACCATTAGAAGGCAGATGTCATTGATCAAAAAGATTGGAAAGCATGATGTGTGGTCCATGTTTTCCCCTCTCACTGACAGCCAGCCTTCCCTTTTGCCCCCTAGCATTTCAGTGCTCTGCCCACAGGATCCTACTCAACAAGTCTGTGCACTTTCAGCTTTATCAGGTGCCTCACCGTTCTCCACCAACCTCCTAAGAGACCAAAATACAAAACAAAAAGAATGCTCCCTTCAGTGGCCTAATTTCCCTCCCTGTCACTTACAGCTGTAAGCCTTCATCCTATTTGATGACACTACATTCAAATGTTTAACATTTTTACTACACATGGTAATTATTCATGATAGTATAAATGAAGGAATACAAACATGTGTGTCTACCTGAAAATGATGAGAATACACACAATTAGGTTTTAGGAGAGGCAGAGGAGGTAGGGAACTGATTTTTCTTTCAATGGAGTGGTGGAGAAGAAAGAACATTTGACTGCAGGCTCCATGAAATATACTTCCAGGAAATCTTTTTTCTGATCTGTGTTAGTCTAATGGAGATAGAGGAGGAGGTGCTACATCTCAGGTAAGGTATGTTAATGAGAAAAAATTAGTTCTAAAGCATTTCATAGTAAGTATTTTAAGAGGAAAATACAATGAAGAAGGCAAAGTGTAGGTGGACTCTGATAGGGAACATTAATCAACAGTGGAGAAACAGAGTTATTAAATAGAATAATCACACTGATTTTTACTGCTTTAAGGGGGAACTTAAAATGTAATCAGCTCTTTAGGTGCCTCTTATACACTGATGACAGGAGATGAAGTACTGAGATAAAATGTCAAAAAATTCTAAGGAAAGCTAAAAATCTTTCCATTTTTAGAAAATGAATGTGAAAGGTATTCAGGTGAGTACAGATCATGCCTTGTCCCATTTCAGGTCTAAAAATTTTGTTTGCAAGATTGAGCTCTAGAAATAAAAAGTCCCAAGTAGCTCTAACAGGACTGATGAATTGAGAAAACTGAAGAGATTATCTCATCTCCAGGTTCACCTTGATCTAGGCTATTGGGAAAGTGGAGAGTGGAGGGAGGTGTGCTGACTTAGGCAAGCAGTGTCACTCTAAAGTTCCCCATACCGGTCTGAGGGCCCATCCTCCTGCTCAGGGAAGTTAAGATGCTGTCCAGGGTGCCCTCTGAAAAGGAGCATGCTCTGGGGGCAGGTGCCTAAAACTCCCTCCTGGCAGCCCCTACCCACAGACAGCCCAAGAGCATCACAGGCCAGCTTCAAGCATCACCCTCCCCTCAGAGCCTGCCCCCTTTCTGCCCAGTAATTTGCCAACATGCACATGCACATGCAGCCATTCTATCTGTGCTTCCCAATTCTCCGCTTGCTCACGCCATTGCTCCAGGTATGCCAGGAGCCATATTCTCCTCAGACAAACCTTCTCTGTTAACTGCATGCCTCCTGTGTGTCCACTAGTCAGCAGCCCCTCAAACACCAGACACTTAGGGACCCCATGCATGCCATCTTGCACTTACTGAAATAATGCTTGTTACTGTTCTTAGACCGCATCATTTGAGACAGTTTCAGCTCCCAAATTAAATCACAAGCTGCTTGAAGGACTGGATGGTGCCTTTTATCTCGTTTGAATCCCCCCTCTAAGTCCAAAACAGTGCCAAGCACAGAGCAGGTGCTTAAGAAATGGTGACTGGTGGTGGTGGTCATGGCTAGAAGTCAGAGGGTGGCTGAATCTCCATGTGTGGGTACATCTTCAGTCACTACTGAGAGAGTCCCAAAGGGCACAAGATGTCACTCCCTTCCCTCACTACCACCAACCCCTGAGCCCACAGCACTTCCAGGAGAACACCAGGTTTCCAGGCACCATTTGGAAAAAGCCATCTCAGCTCCTCACCACGCTCTCCCTTTTAGTAGGGTCCTTCTCTCTAGGATCTTGTGGGGAATGCCTCTCCCTCATGGACACCACCCTTAGATATTTCTGGTGTAAATAAGTGAACCTCTGAGGAGTCACCAGGAGCCCTCTCTGCTTAGAGGCTCAGTTTCCTCAGTTGTTTTAGGGGTGAGAATGAACAGATCGCCACCCAGCACCCCTAAAAACGAGAAAAGGAGAGGTTCGGATGGCTTCCTGTCCTCCAGCGCTCCTGTCCAGGACAGACTCTCAAGGAGAACAATCACAGCCACCGAAAAGGCAACAGCATTTTGGTCCCCAAACTCGGACCCACGCCGAACTGGCCTTTCTCCTTTTTCTAACCCAACGGGCTGGACCTCTGTGTGGAGTCTGGGAGGCGATGGGCCTTGGGACCATTTCTGTGTCTCTTTGGAGAGGTTTCTGTATTTATAAAGCAAAGGGTCGGGACTGGTAATCCCGAAGCCCTCTCTAGTTAGAAAGTCAGTTCAGTCGCTTAGTCGTGCCCGACTCTTTGCGACCCCATAGACTGCAGCACGCCAGGCTTCCCTGTCTTCCCTAGTTAGAAAACCGACGAATAAAAAAGGGTCCAGAAAAGCAGAGGTCTCTGAACCTCAGGCGCGACGCAGGACCTTCGTGAAACCAGGGAATATTAGATCCGAAGGCCCTAAGCGGCAAAAAGTCTGAAAGAATGCCCTCGACACCGCACCTTCCTCCGCCCGGTGGAGGAGACCAGCGAGCCAAGCCGGGGAACTCCCGCGAAGAGCGGTCTTCAGATTCCAGCAGCTGCCCGTCACCGGACAGACCCCCCCCCCACCCTTTCCAGCCTCCCTTCTCCCCATCCCGAGCGCGCGTGACCCCTTCTCACCGCTTGGGAGGCAGGAGCCCTCTCCCAGCCGGACCGCTGCATTAGCAGCTACGGAATACCGGCAGCGCTGCTGCCAGCCTGTGTATACGGTCGCCATGGCAACGGGCCGCTTTGGCTATTCCGGAAGTACGAGATAGTGGCGGAAACGAAGTCCGCGGTCCTCTGTTGTGATACGTATTAGGTCAGGGCCGAAAAAAGGAGGACGAGCGATGGGACCGATTAATTCAGAAAGACTGCAGGAGCTGCAGGCACGAAGCCAGGTCGGGGTAGCTGGGGAACGGAGCCGCAAGACCGGGAAACTGCGAGGTCCGGCTTCCGGCGCAGAGCAGTTTGAGACTACGGCGGCCGCGCAGGCCCATTCGACGCCGGCCCAGCGCCCCGGGCCGCCGTCCGCCCGCGCCCTCGCCCCGCCCAGGTTAGTTCCGAGCCGGCGCAGCCAAGCCTGCGCAGTCGCGGCGGCCGGGGAAGATGGTGGAGGACGGCGCGGAGGAGCTGGAAGACCTGGTGCACTTCTCCGTGTCCGAGTTGCCTAGTCGCGGCTACGGCGTCATGGAGGAGATCCGGCGGCAGGGCAAGCTGTGCGACGTGACGCTCAAGGTCCCAGGGGCCGGGCGGCGCGGGGCTGAAAGGCCCGGGGGCCGAACGGGGAGGGAAGAAAGATGAGGGGATCGGGGAAGAGAGGTCTAGCGCGCTGAGGGGTGGGGAAACGAGGTGGGAGGGAGAGCGACCCGCGGGGAAAGAGAGGTGCTGAGCGGCAGAGGGGCCTTGGGGCTGAGGAGGCAGACGGATAGGGTCAGCCTCTCAGTCTCAGACCTTAGAAGGAAACGCCAAGAGGTGCGCCGCTGAGGCCCTCGGAGTGGAGACCTTGGGGTACCCGCCTCCTTTTTCTGTCACACAGACGAGGGGAAAAAAAAAAAAAAAAAAACGGACTTGCAGCCGCTCTGTGGAAGGGGGCGGCGGCTCTTTCTACATTCTGATGGGCACCACGGCAAAGCACCTTTTCTTGTCACCACAGACGTGCCCCCTCCGAGTTAGCTGCGGTGTGATAGAGGCGGGGGCTCTTCCTGAGGAGTCATTGCTCGCCCTTGACTGTTAGGTTACTGCCTTGTCTCGTAATAAGAGCTTTTAAAATCGGATCTGGAAATCTTTTGAGGTGGGCCACTCCCCTGACCCCACTCTGGAAGGCACGCTACCAGCACCACAGAGGTCCCGGAGAATGGACTGATGGCCTCCCGTGGGGACAGGGCTCTCTTAACCACCTGTTCCTTGGTGGCATTCTGGGCGCAAGACCCAGCCTTCCTCCCGTGATTTTGTATCCATTCCTGCTGGGTAAGCGTGCTGTCCTGCTCCGCGGCCAAGCTGCTGAGCCGGCTGGAGCCCTCCGGGTGGAGATGCTGCTGGCAATCCTGTTCCCTCTTGGGCTTTGGCTAGAAGGATGTCAGCATCTGCGAAGGACCCTGTTTAAAAAATAAAACTATGCAGAGATCTTTGTGCTCTTGTTTTCCGCCGGGTTAAGGAAACTTCCTCTTCCACATATCTGAGTCAGACCTCCTGAGACAGTGAAGTAGAATGGTTAGGAGTGTGGCTATGGAGTTAGAAGGATTTGGATTAAAATCCTTGGGCAAGTTACTTAAGCTCTCTTAGCTTAAGCTTTCCAAATGTAAAAATAGGGATGATTTCTAATTCTTAGTATTCGTATGAGGATTAAATGAGAAAACTTGCAGTATTCTTTGCATAATGCCTGGTGTAAGGTTTTCGTCACTCTAAACCCCTTCTGAGACAGAAACCAACACAGTGTTGTAAAGCAATCATCCTTCAATTAAAAATAAATAAATTTAAAAAATAATTTTTAAAAAATAGAAGAAAAAAAAAAGCCTTCCTGAAGGAGGTTAGTTTTCCAGGGGAGGAGTGAAGTGGACCGCAAGGGGACAGCATCTTTCATGGGGAGTGAGAGGTTTGAGCAAAATGAGCTAGACTAAAGGAAACAGAGAAAATAAATATAAATGAGAGGTTTTTTTGTTCACAGTGATCACATGGAAGTAGGTGTTGAGGGTTCTAGAGATTTGTAAGCAAAAGAATGATCTGCTTGTGGCAGTAACGCTTGGGGTGAGCAGAGAGTGGTGAAAAGCAATAATGGAGAGTGAATTTTTGGATTAAGATTTAGGCTGTAAGGGTAAGCCAGGGAAAGCTTCTAAGACACAGTGACGCAAAAAGGACGTGATGGAGTAAGATGGTCACACTACATAACCCTCACCGTAACCCACTAAACCCAAGTACACAATTTTCACCGAAGCTGACTTCAAGGACCACACATTTGAGTCTGGAATCTTGCCTATTTTGTTTTCGTACTGATTTTGTGATGAAAGAGTAGGTGGAGGAGGATATCAGGAAGTGAGGTAAGGACTTGTTGGTGCACGCCATTTTTATGTCATGTGTCGTGTAATGAGTTACTCGGGTATAATTAGAGAGCTAGAATAATCATAGTAAAAGGAGCCATCGAGGTCTTCTAACAAAGCCATCCATTTCACAGATGAAAAAAACCCGGGGCTTAGCGATATTAAGGGATTGCCCAAAGCACAAAGCTGTATTATCTGAGATCCAACACAGCTGTTGGTTGGTGGAAGCGATGCTTTTACATCCTCTGTCAGATTACTCACCTGCCCTGCTAATGGTATATAAAGCAGAGCAGGAAACAAGCGGTCCTCTGTCAGCAGTGTCCTCTGTGAACACACAGGACAGTGATGTGCATGGCCAGGAGCAGCATCACTCTTCTATTTCAGGAGAGGAGACAGACATGGGGTTTTTCTGCTAGTCTTCTGGACCTAAGACTTCTTGACTCTTGATTTGGAAATGACACTGTGTTGGGAAATCCTGTGTTTCTGAATATTGTTCATCCCCCGGGCTCTCTGCTCACTTTTTCCAGGTAGTTGTGTTTCCTTTTCAGCCTTGCCTCTTTTTGATGAGTGGTTAAAATTAAGGGGAAGAGTGTGCTCCGTTAGAGCACATGTTCACATATCACAGTGGGCACCTGTGCTATGAATTCATATTCATCAAAAAGTCAGTTTTGCTCTTTCTTTTGTGAGTTATGTTGGGGGTGATGTTAAATTTGGACACTGATTTAGATGAATGAGAGAGCTTGATGCTGCCTGACTGTAGGTGGAGAAAGAGAGTTACATGGTAAGGGTACTCAAGATGGCTGTTCCCTTGCTCTTGGTACATCTCCTGCCCGACCAGTACTTGCTTCATCTATATCCTGCTCACATGACTGACCTTTCTACACTTATTCCCCACCTCCTCACCCTGTGATTGTCAAAGGAGCAGTGAGGGGTTTGCCCTCTGTTGGTTTCCCTGGTGACCAGTGAGCCCACCTGACATCAGGTTCCCTGCTACTGGTCATCTCCTTCCACTTGGGAGTGAAGACTACCCCCATGTCCCGCCTGCCTTCTGCACACAGTGGGATGTCACACCAGGACCTTGTTTCAGACGTATAAGATTCCCCACTATCCGTTAAAACATTGATGGCTCTTTGCTGACTTCAGGTTCTTTCTTTGGTCTTAAAGCTGGGCACGTACAGGCCTTGAAGGCCTGCTGTGTGCAGCCTAACTGAGGTGTCTCGGAAAATCAGTTCCTAACCGAGCCACATTGACTGGGTTCATCCTGTGGCTTCTGGAGCTTGGCCAGCCATCTGGGTAAATGTCAGAAGCCTGTATTTGGGGATGCTTCTTACTGCAGGTGGTTCCTTTATTGTTTTGTACATGAGATCCCATTGTTTGCCCCTTGGCCACACCTGGTTCAACTTGTGGGTTGATTGATGGAAAATGAGACCATGTCCTTTCTCCAAAGATGTGTTCCTAGCCCCTCCTGAATTTCAAGTATGGCATCTGCCTTCCTCCTCTAGGTTTGTTGGCTGTTGGCACTCCCATTATCTCCTTGGCATAGAAACCAGCCAACTTCCCCACAGTCCATTTAGGCCTTTTCTACCCAAACAGCGGATCACATCATTACTTGTTTCTAGTTGGGGAGAGGAAAGAATGAACCAAGATGTGTGAACCAGGAGCTGGCAAGCATTTTCTGTAAAGAGCCAGATAGTAAATATTTTAGGATTTGTGGGTCACACTGTTTCAGTTGCAGCTATTCAACTCTGGGTGTTGCAGCACGGGAGCAGCTGTACATAGTACATAAATGAGCGGGTCTGGCTGTGGTCCAGTCAAACTTTATTTATAAAAACAGGTGTTGGCCAGACCCGTTGGCTGACCCCTATTGTATACTGATATGGCCTCTGTAAAGTTTAAGACTTGTGGAGTAGGTTACACTTGCTTTATTGCCCCAGCGTCTACTTCTGTGGTTTCAGAGATTGGAAGCAGCTCTTGGTACAGAGTACAGGTGAACCAGAAATGAAAAACTTCCCCCCTCCCCCCCCAGCTCACAGCTGTTGATCAAGGGACTGGCCTGGTCTGTGACCGATAACTGACATAGGAGAAGCTACTGTTACGTTGTGCATCTCTGTTTTTTTGTTTGTTTGTTTGTTTTTAATATTTATTTATTGAGCTGTGCCGGGTCTCTGTTGTGGCACGTGGGGCTTCTGTCTTCCTTGCAGGATCTTTTTAGTTGCAGCACGTGGGATCTAGTTCCCTGAACAGGAAGTGAACCTGGGCCCCCTGCATCGGGAGCACCTCAGCCTCCGGACCACCAGAGAAATCCCAGTATCTCATCTTTAAAGTCTTGCAGCTCAGCTGAAGCTTGAAGCTGACTATTCCGAAGTATTAACCAAAGACACCGTAGTCCCTTTCTGTCTCAGTGGAAGCTGAGGATGATTAGCTGCTTGCACAGTGGCAGGCCAGAGGAGACTGTGATGGCTCCTGTGTTCCCATGGACCTGACTGGCTGTGTGCAGGGCTGGGAAGGTAAAGGCCCGAGTTCGGGCTTGTGGCAGGCCAGGTAGATCAGTAGCTCAGGCGCGGCCCAGTATGTCTGGGCAGTGTGCTGCATATCTGATGAAAACACAAAAATGCCTTTTTTGGAAAATAAGCTCAAGAACAGATATTTGTACAAGCAGGTTCATAGCATCATTGTTCACCGTATCCGAAAGATGAAAGCA